GAGAGAGAGAGGGGGGGGTCGAAAGATCAGCTCACGATAAAATCTAATTAACTAGTTCTGGCTCATCCTTTGAAGAGTAGATTTCATCTTTTTTAATGATAACACACAAAAATGACAGGAATCTGGAGTTCAGTTGGAACCAAGCGACATATATCGATGTGAACAGAATTGTTGTCTACAGTGGTCGTTGTGCAAACACATGACTTTGCATTAATTAATCAAACCAGATAAGATATACTTGCAAAACGACAGACAAGCAGGTATGATAGAACTCGTGAGAGAACAAAATTATGGAAAGTAAACAAATAAAACACAGAGAACATTTAATTCTGGGGCTTACATCAATAGTATGCAACACAGTTATCATAAAAGCAGAGTGCGAAATGGATGGCAAATATCTCAGCTAGACAAGAGCTCGTGAAAACATCTAGGACATGATCTAATGGTATGCCATACAAGCATCGAGAGAAAGCGTAAAGGGAAGTGAGTTATGAATTCATGTTCTTTTCCTCTCTGTACAGAAGAGTTCGGATGATTAACAAAAACAAAATGACAATTCAGTGAAAGTTGGAAAATGTCACGAAAATGTCAACGACCTTACAAAAGTTGGAATGAGAAAGGAAAAAGGACAACAACGATATGATTCAGAAATGATCCTGGTAAACAGAATTCGCGAAGGCAGATGGGACATAATGATATATCAGCACAGATGGGACATATATCAACACAGATGGGGCATTTATATCAGCAGAGATCGGACATAATGATATATCAGCAGAGATAGGACATAATGATATATCAGCAGAGATCGGACATATATCAGCACAGATGAGACATATATCAGCACAGATGGGACATAATGATATATCAGCACAGATGGGACATAATGATATATCAGCACAGATGGGACATAATGATATATCAGCACAGATGGGACATTATCAGCACAGAAGGGACACATTATAATTACAGTATATCATATTTCAGACATAAAAAACACAGAACGAAGTGAGCTAGACATTAATTTTTTGTTCTCTTTCATCGAATGAAGTACGTGAAATAGAACCCAACGACAAGCATACAAAGGTTTGGCCACTTACAAAACAGATCATGAGTCAAACAGAGGTTGGAAAGAGTTACAAAAATTGGAACAATCATACAAGTCAAGCTTGGAATCAGTGACCCCAGAGTAACGTTCTAATTCTTCCAAAAACTTTCCCTTGTGGCGCATTTCCTTCCTGCCATAGCACTATCCCAGAATTACAAAGTTCTATCTGCTCAGTGCCTAGTTCTGAGAAATTTGACGTGGAAAAAAAAAGTGAGTTTCACAAAATGTCAAGCTGTTTCGAATGCAATTCTTTGAATATCCCGATAACGAATCTTACGATTTTGAAAGAGCTGATAGAACATTTGGTTTCTGACTTCACGTTCTTGGTAAGTCGAAACAGCCAAAAGTGCCAGAAAGGACTGTAATTCTACGTTCGCGATAGGCAGGCACCAAAACTTCCGGTTGGTTTGCAGATTATCAAAGTTTATGGAAATCCCAACAGCATCGGCAATATTCAACCCTACATCTGAACACACCACATACACATCTTACCAAGTATGAAACTTAAAAAACAATGTGTGAAAGGGAATTTAAATTTAAGGACCCTAGATCTGGAATGCTTATCAAATCTTTTGATTAATTCAAACGTCAGCTGAAGTTATATCTGTTTTCAAATTAAAAACATAAATATTTTGAGTGATTTTCTTTTAGTCAGAACACAACGTTTTATGTTACGGTTGTACATTGTATTGTATTGTATTGTAAAGCGCTCAGAGCCTGTGTACTTTAATCGCTATATAAATGTAATTATTATTATGATTATTATTATTATGATTATGATTATTATTATGATTATTATTATTA